CAAAATTGTTGAGGTGCTTATATGTACTTTTTTTTTTCCTTTTGAATATAGAGAGCTGCCAACACGGGTTGGGGTCATCAGGATAAGAATTCAAGATGGGGGCATGATAAGTTTGAGGGTTCAAAAAGGAAGGAGAGAAGATTTAATGATCAAGAAGGCTTTGGATTGGGGAATAGGAATCCAAGTTCTAGGGAAAAGGGCAATAACAGGGTGATGGAAAGCCATTCCAGGGAATGTAAAGGGAGGGATGACAAGAGAATGCGAAGACACGATGATGATGAAATTAAGCTCAAGTCAAGGGATGACCATGATAAGAAGCAAGAAAACAGATTCAGAAAACAATATGAAGATGATGAATTTGAGCCTAAGGCTAGAGATAATCGTGACAGGAGGGAAGAAAAAAGACCAAAACAGTATGATGGTAGTGCACCAAAGTCAAAGGTTGATCTGGCTAGGAGAGAAGAGAAAAGATCAAGGGAGAATGATGGCTATGATTCTAGGAGGGAAGAAAGGAAATTTAGAAGGTACGATGATGGTGAAAATGAGCCAAGATCAAGAGAAGATTATCATATGAGGGAAGAAAAGAAATCAAGAAGGCATGATGATGATGAAGTTGAACCAAGGTCTAGAGGAGAACATGACGGCAAGGAAGAAACGCGATCAAGAAGGCATGAATCAAGGTTCTCATTGAGAGGAGACCAGGACCAAGTATCCAATGACAAATGGTCTAACCCTGAAAAGGATTTATCCTCCCACTATCGTGGTGAGAGAGATGGTTACCAACGAAGGCGAGATAGATAACAACATTATGCATCATAATGGAACTTTGAGCTCACCTGTTTCCTTAGGTAGTTCTCCTTACTGTATTTATCTGATAGTTGTAATCCCATTATCTTTGCCTAGGTTTTGTGCTACTCATAGAATTATACATCATAACCCCCTTTCTTGTGTTTATCTTTTGTTCGATAGGTTTCACGAAACATGCAATGGTTACTTTTTTCGGTTTAGTTGATGTCCTTGAATAATCAGAACCTAGAGATATGGTCTAGTATGATTTTGAATCTGTCACTTATAAATGGGGGAGATGCAATGTATTTCAGGATACTTGTGTTCGTGTATACGACGATATCAATAGTTTAAGGGTATGTTTGCATGGAGGTCGATCGAAGGGAATGAAGGGGAGGAAATGAAAAGTATTTTCGATTCTCATGTTTGGGAGTTTAGTTTTTGAGAGAAGAAGGTGGGTTAAAATTGTACTTTATCTTGTTTGGGAGTTTAACCTCCTATTTTCTCACTCTATTAAAATTGTAATTCCTCCAAATTGGAGTCAAATAGAAATAAAATTAAACTAACTTTGTAAAGATATGATACTGTACTTTTTTTCCTGAAAACGCTCCACCCTAAAAAGTTCTTGATTTCTTTTCTGAAATTCCAAGTTACTTTTAGTGTACTTCTAGGGCTCGGGACATATATTTTTTTTTAATGAAAGAATACAAGTAATCCATTGTTATACATAAAAAAAATAAATTTTAGTAACATACAGAAAAGACAGAGGTGACCAACATAATAGTTATATAAATTTGTCAAAAATACCATTAATAGTAAGGATTAACTTAGAAAATACATACACTATTTAAGTAT